TTCGGATGTTTTCTTGGTATAATCTATCTTTATTAGTAAAATGATTTTCCGGGAATTTTGCTTGTGTTTCCCTGTACTTCGGAAGCGCTGTGTGAGCCACTATATTCTTTATACTTTGCCGAACTATTTGGCAAATCACGTGGTAAGCACGTGGCGAAAAGAAGAGAATCGTATACATGCAGGACAATGCCAATATTATTATTATCATTATCATTATTATTATTATCTATTATCGAGTGTCAGGAAGCCCGTTACCGAGCAATTCCTTTTCCTGTCGGTAAGCAAGCCCCCGAACTACCCATTCCCACCTTTCCTTTCATTCATTATTTCATCATCATTTTTTTTTTTTTTTTTTTATATATATCTATATATTTAGGGGGGGCTCGGGAGGGACATTACGAAAGAGCCAGACTAAAGTCAGGCAGCGAAAGAAAAAAGCACTATCATCAAGTATTTTTAATTTAAAAGTATTTTTTTAAAAAAAAATTCTTATTGATTTTCTTTGCAAAATGGCTTCAAATGCTTTATTAGCCGAAAAAAAATGAAAGTATAATTGATGATCGCTTTTTAGCTGTTTTAAAAACTCATCTAAACACAAAAACCAAGCTTCATTGGGTTCTAAATACCTCTAAATTAGTTAAAATTTAAGTTATCAAAGAGTTGAAAATTCAGTTGGATAAACATAACTGTGGTTATCCTATTGAAGATTTTATGAAACACTGTGCCTCACAAAACTCAACTAATAAGACTCTTCGAAATATCATGAAAAATCTAATATGAAATTGGTTTAAATGCAAAAAATAATGGAAATCACTATAATATGAAATAAAAACCCTTCTTGTAAAAACAATATTTTCGTACTTTCCAATGTAGTTACTTTATTTTACAATTTTAACGTTACATACAGTACTCAATTTTTAATTGACGGAAATTTGAAAGTGACTTCTAACAAATTAAAAAAGTTACTTTAGTTTGAAACTTTCTTTTACAGTACGTACTATCATGCTTCCATACGTCCGTCCTATCCGTTCCGTACCGTACTACTTGACTATATACTCTTAAATTACTATATAAAATAAAGCCTCTGCAGGTCACAACGTCATATTGGAATCGGAGATTCCACCGATTTTAAGAATTTATCGATTTCAAGTAACATTTGAAAACAGAAATCATGTGGCCACATCTTTTTTACAAAACGATTAACTAATACTAAAATAAAGTTTTATGAATTTAAGTACTTTTTTAAATTTGCTTTTTAATAATATTATAAAAAACTTTAATATATTGAATGTATATTGCTCGTAAAAATTTCTTGTCACATTAACTGTTACAAGTTATTTCAGTCTCTGTTTAACAGTATGCTATTTGTCTAATTTAAATGATTAAAATTTGAAAACTAATAAAAGTTAATTAATTTTTCTTCAAAAAATTTCAAAGTATATTATTACGCTAGAATATTAGAAAATTTAAAAGTATACTCTAGATTCCAATCAACAACACCGATGCAATTATTTAAATTGCATAATTGGCAACTCTGAATATTTTCGTCGTGCAGCCCTTAAATATTTAAGCATAAATCTTTTTTAAAAGAAAAGCTTTTAATTTTAATTTCATGAAAAAGAAGTTTACCTTTTTTGTTCAAGTAATTCTTTCTCAGTTCGCAATAATTCTTCTTGTTCTTCCCGTGATAAGTCAGCACCAGGTAATTCTTGTAATATTTGATGGCATCGCTGAAACTTTTCTTTTAGCTTTTTTGTCTTTTAGAATTATACCATTTTGAAAAGTTATTATAACAAATTAAGCAACTTCATAAATTCTATATAAGAAACGTATTTAATTCGAACTTCTACTTTTGATGTATGTACCATATTTCTAATTTCAATTTCATTCTTGCCAGAAGAAACTTTATCAAGGATTTGCACGACTTGTGGTAAAAAAGAAAATTCTTCTCGTGGAAAACGGTCAAGTTCTGACGTTGATTCTGTGTGTTCGTAATCTTGCATATTTAAAAAATAAAAAGCAAATTTTTTTTATCATTAAGTATTTATATATGTAATACAGATCATCCGTATATTTGTACAACGTGTACAACGTAACATGGAGTACAATATGCCATTTTAAATTTGACTCCGGAATAACGGAATATTTCTAGAAGGTATTATAATAACGATATTCGCACCCTAATTTTGGAAATTTAGTGGAACAGGACTTACTCGTTTTTATTAGCTTCTCAATTACGAAAATTTTTTTTATTATTCTGAATCTTGGTTAAAAAAAATTTGAATAACACAATCAAAAAAAAAAAAAAAAGAAAGAAAAATGCCATTTAATTTAAAATATAAATATTAATAATCTTAAATAAACGTTGCGTTAAAAATGTATATAATAAATCATTTAAACGAAAATAATCATTCTAATATATGTACATTGCTTTTTTTTTCTTTTTTTTTTTGTTTCGTTTTGTTTTGTTTTGTTTTTAAAACCACTTTTTCTTCTTCCCTATCTTCGTTTTGATCAGTTTCCTTTCCTCACTATTCTTCTCCGTAAGCTTTTTTGCTGCTTCTAAATTCTCCTTTCCGCATACTTTTGGTACATTATCCAATACCCATTGCAACCCATCCGTATAGCTAACCTGTCTTCCACTTTTTGATTTTTGTAAACACATCTTCAACAAATTACCTAAGTCGCCTAGATTCTCATATTCCTTATCTACATCTACACCATTTTCTTTTAATAAATTGAGAACTTTAATTGGCCATCTGTTCCAGATTGCCAAGAATAACATATTTGGCAAAATAACACATCCTTCTGCTGCTCCAAGATTACTTGAACTTCCATGGTTGCTTGTCTTATGGGGTATATCTATTTTCGAACTCGATCTCCTGTTAAGATTAGTAGTCCTAATAGTAACATTAATATTTGGATCTGCACCGTTTTTCAATAGCACTTCAATAACTTTTGTGAACCCCGCTTGAAACATTCTCTTGCTCAAATAAAGTTCCAAAACAGTGCGTCCATTCTCATCCTTCGCGTTTATATCACATCCATTTTTCACTAGGAATTCTATCACTTTTGCAAAATGATCATGAAATTCATTCAATTTCTTTTTACCCTCCGAAACATCATCTGGTTTCTTATTATCTTTAGAAATATCTATATCACTTATTAAATCTATATTTCCGTACAACCAATGCAAAGCTGTCCTATCACACTTTGCTGAAACCCATGAAAAATTGGGCAGTTTACTAGAATCATTCGATTGACCATTATGATATTTCAATAATTTAAAAATCTTTTCAACCATTACAATATTATCACAATACTTAGCAACTATAATGTACAACAAATCGGTTGTATTTTTAAATTCATATGTACTAGTAATACTTTCACCACACGATAGGTGATATTCTAAGCCTTCAATGTCACCAAATCCAGCGTGATAGCCTGCGTGACATTCAGTAGGCTTTTTGAGCTTGCATTGGATGGAATATTTTTCTAGGATTTGATTGCATCCCTTTTATAAAATAAAAATCAAAATTTTTAGAGAAACTCTAAAATCAGAATTTCAAGGGCATATATATACTTAAAATGTATCAGAAAATAAATACTTACAGCTGGCATTTTATTTGGTAAACCAGATTGTTGTACGCCTTGTTGATCTATAATATCACAAGAAAATGTTTGTATATTACCAAATTAAAACTGCAATATCAACAATTCTTAAAATGATACATACACTGCCTATTATCCATATGATAATTTATCGGCGCTTGTTGGTTTCTTGGAACTTGGTTAGCATTATTCCCCATAACTTGTTGATTAACCGGAATTTTTTGATTAAAATTGCTTCCTAGAACTTGTTGATTATAATTGTTTACTGGAACTTGTTGATTACTTCCTGGAACTTGTTGATTATTTCCTAGAACCTGTTGATTACTTCCTGGAACTTGTTGGTTAAAGCTAGCTCCTAAAGCTTGTTGATTAACATTACTTCCGGGATATTGTTGGTTAAAATTATTTCCCAAAACTTGTTGATTAAGATTACTCGTAATATTTTTATTAGGGTACGCAGTATTAGGAACCGATTGTTGGTAAGCTTGAGTCGATGCATTGATTGTGGGCATATTCACCATAGGCTGAGTATTCATGTTAGTTGGCGTATATGCAACTGGTGCGAATTGTTGTTGATTATTATTAAAATTGGTTGATACTAAATTTTGGTTAGCGTTATGATAAGTTTGTGATTGACCAGCATTCACAGTAGGATAAATAGGTTGTTGAAAATGATTATTCATTCCAGAAGGATAATTTGCATTAGCGACATTATTAGTGAATTGTTGTTGAACCGGTATCATTCCCTGGTTCATGTTAGCGTCATTCCTAACATATTGAGGAGGCTGAGGAGGCAATGGTCTTCGTATAACGTGATTATTATTATTATTAGCATATGGCACCATTGGTTGATAAATTTGCTGTGGTGCATAATTTTGCAGAAGATTGGGATCAGAATTAGATCGAATAAGATTTCCATCATTAAACCCTAAATTTGGATTAAATCCTCCTGGCTGATAAGGTTGCGGCATTTGATTATGAGAAAGCCGTTTATTGGCATTATTATTTTGTTGATTAAAAGAAGGTGATTGTGATGCCGTAAGGCTCAATGTGTTTTTCATGCTATTTGAAATAGATCCGACAGAATTATCATTCTGCCTACCATCACCCAACATCTCCTCCAATTTCGTCCTAACCGTATTAATATCTGGTCTATCCTCCGGCCTTTGACTCCATGCGAGCTCATATAACTTTCGGAAATCATCTGGTGTTCCATCCACAGGTTTCTCTCTTTCACCATTTTTCACTTTATTTGATATTTCAAAAATGTCTTGATTATCAAATGGAGGTCGACCACTCGATATTTCCCAGAGTAGTACACCAAGACTGTATATGTCGGACGCTTTGTCACGTATGTATTTAGAATCAAAGAAACATTGTGGTTCTAAATAAGCAAACATACCAGTCAAGGCAGATACTGTGCTAGAACCGCTCGTTTTGGAAAGACCAAAATCAGTTATTATCAATTTATCTTGGTTAACTAAAATATTTTTTGAGTGCTATCAGTATAATTTAAATATAAATTAGAATTAAGATATATTCTTGTATGATAAATCATTAGATAAATATTGATATAATAAAAACAATTAAAATAAAAATTACCAAATCTCTGTGTACAATATTTTGATCATGGATACATTTTAGCCCGCTAGCAATTTGTTTTCCCATGGAAATCTTTTTTTTCCAATCAAGATTTTGAAAATTTTTCTGAAGATAATCTCTTAGACTTCCTCCATCAGCATATTGTAGTACCATGAAATATCTTGATGTAGTTGGGTCTTAATTATCATTCATGAAAGAAGTGTCCACGAAAGAAGTAAAATGATAATTAATTACATGAGAAGTAAACTATCTAGAAGTTGTGTTTAATGAACTTACCTTGACTAATTCCAAAAACTCGAATAACATTATCGTGATAATGTACAGATCGAATCAACTTAAACTATTCTCATTTACGATAATAATAATAACGTTAAAAATCAACGAAATAACTATCCACATAATACATCGAATGAAACTTTATAATGTATTTTAAACTAACCTCTTTAATAAAAGCATCAAAATCCTTATCATTTTCGGATTCAGGATTGTCAAATAAAGATTTTAACGCAATTGTTTTCTCAGCTGTTGACCAGTATGCTTTTGCAACTTCACCATATGCGCCTCGAGCTATCTCTTTACGATCAGTGAATGAATCGTATGGAATGAACTCTACATGATGACCATCTATTGCTTGTTGCATCCATTGTGATAATTTTGATGACATTTTGTGAAAAATAGAACGGAATAGGGAATTTTATCATAGAAAGAAGAATAAGTAAACTATTATGATTAATTCATTTACAGAAATAGTACAGATGTACCCTGAATTTAACGTAACCACGGCAACAAATAATGTTTGTGTCATCTGATCATCTACGTGGAAATTGTGAAACGTCTTTTGTTGACCGAATGTTACTGTATCAGCATGGGCAATCATTTATTTATATATTAGTGCAATAAAATTAAATGAAATACATACATATCAATTTTGGGTCCCACACCTCGGCCTGACCACAAAACGGGCAACAACAGCCGATTTTTATATATGCAAGGTCGAGCCTGCCTAACCATACATGCTAAGTCATAGAATTAATTACATATATATATTACTATTTTTCCGTTTAAAAAGATCATATTTACCTCAAAAGACCGAGGATTTTCGTTAAGACAAACTCCGACATAATTTTAAATGGTCAGGGGAGGGGCTTCAAAAATAATTAAATAACATGATAAACATGCCATAACTAGGGATTGGAATCGGTTTAATCGACTACTATGTTTAGTCGATTAATTAGTCGACTAAACCGATTCCAATCCTTAATGATAACACTCATGAAACAGGTTTTCAAAAAAAAATTCCTCTCATGATTTTAGTATGGTAACTCTTCTAACCCTAACTTCAAAATCAGAATGCATCATGATATCATTTGTTTACTAGAATTGCAGTATTGGCCTTAACTATCGCTATGATCTCTAATTTTAGGCCGAATGCTTGTCATGTTACATTGTGACATCATCACCAGGTTTGAAACTACTGTACCCCAAATTTCATTGGTCAAAAAGTTTACCACTTAAAACCGTGGACACTAGACCGGGGAAATAAGGATCACATGGTAAATATTATTTCGATTAGAAAAATCGATTTGATTCTACTTTGACATTATGAGATTTCTAGAGATTGTGATATAAACTATGAACCATATCCTCTATAAGTGCACACAGACTGGTATGAGTCTGGAGCGGCAAATTTTTAAATTTAAATTAATATATATATTACTGTATATGAGACTTTTACTAAACGCATCCTATGGTGTTTTACACCTATGTAAATATTATCTCAAAAAACTGGATAATTAATCATTGCAAGATCTTCTAAGTAAAAATGCTCTACACCCCTAAAAACCCCTTCCAAAACTCTAGCTCTAACTCTAAATACTAACACTAACATGAAAATTTTGTGTGGAAAATTTTTATATTCAAAACTAGAAAAATAATAAAACCTATGATGGGTGCAGAACCTCTTTATAATAAATGCTATATAATTACTAAAAACTAAAAATCAGTATAAGTTTAAAGTATAAAATAAAATTAAATTATATAAAAATTAAATATTAATTTAAATTTGGATCACACTTAAAAAAAACAATATCTAACTATAACTTAAGCCTTACCTTACTTAATCCTAACTAAAATTTAATTTTAAATTAGAGGTGAAATTTCGATAGAGCATATGGGGTCTTTGCCTTGAAAATGACCTTACGGTACATGATACCGTAAGGTCATTTTCAAGGCAAAGACCCCGTATATTAAAATCAAAAATATTAAACGGTGAATTTTACCCTTGATGAATGCTAAATAAATATCCCCTGTATATCAAAATTTTTTAAACTTTGAGCGATGTTAACTTGACAACCACTAAGCTAATTTTAATGAACTTTTTTTTTATTTGAATTCTACGAATCTGTAGATTCAAATAAAAAAATTCACCGAATTTGGCTTGGTGGGTGTCGAGATATCTTCACTCAAAGTTTTAAAAAATCTAAACCGTCTATCAAAATAAGAGCTGCGCCAAATTGTTATTAAACTTTGAACAAAGATATCTCGACACCCACCAAGCCAAATTCGATAAACATTTTTTTATTTAAATTATGCGAAACTGTAGAATTCAAATAAAAAAAATGTTCATTGAATTTGGCTTGGTGGGTGTCGAGATATCTTCACTAAAGATTTAAAAAATTCACGTCTATCAAAAAGAGCTGCGTCAAACTTTTTTTCAAACTTTGAGTGAAGATATCTCGACACCCACCAAGCCAAATTCGATGAACATTTTTTATTTGAATTCTATAGATTCGCGAAATTTAAATAAAAAAAAAAGTTTATTAAATTTGACTTGGTGAGATATATTAGCCCAAAGTTTAAGAAAAAGTTTGGCGCAGCTTCTTTTTGATATACAGGGGGTATTAATAACAAATTTGGGGGTATAAATAACAAATCCCTAATAATATAGTATGTATTTTAAAAATATTATAACCAATTATACCCAGCGGGTATATACCCGGGTATAAAAAAAAACCCCATAACCTTAAAGTTATCAAGCTAGCAGGTTAGAGTTAAAGGTGTATCAGCTTTCTTATTAATAAAATTTTGAGATATTAACCGAGTACCTCTAAATATAAAAATTAGAATTAATTTAAATTTAAAATAAATAAATAATTTAAAATATAATTATTAGCTATATAGTTAGTAAACAAATAACTAAATGCATAAAGATTAAAATACAAAAATGCGATCATTTGAAACTTTAATGTTTTCAATTATGTTATTTTTATTTTTTAATAATTTTGATTTATTTTTTTTGTTAATAAGCTTGTAACCATAAAATTATAATACATTCTAACCCTAATTCTAACCATTAATAATTCTAAGTTAGCTCATTAGAATTATCTATTTCAGAACTTATTCAAGAATATTATTATTCCGGTAACACACAGTACGTAGTTAAAGTTGTTAGTTTGCATTGGAATTATCGTGATTTCTATCGTTATTCCGGTAACATAAAGTATATGATTAAGGTTGAGTTAGTTTCATTGGAATTTCATGGTACTTATCGTGATTTACTGTAAAAAATTGTATACAAAACTTACTCGCTATTCCAGTAACACCGCATGTAGTTAAAGATTGAGTTGGTCATAGTTAAAGTTGAGTTAGAAATATTGAATTATCGTGATTCTTATCGTGAGTTACTGTAAAAAAAATGTGTTATAAAACTTACTTGCTATTCTAGTAGGTCCAATATGTAATTAAAAGTTGTGTTAGCCTATGTTAGAATTATCGTGATTTCCATCGCAAGATGCTGTAAAAATTTTGGTATATAACTTACTCGCTATTCCAATAACACAAGTATATAGTTAAAGTTGAGTTAGATATATTAAAATTATTGTGATTCTTATCTTGAATTATAAAAAACGCATTAAAAACTTACACGCTATTCCAGTAACACCAATATGTAGTTAAAGATTGAATTGGTCTATGCTAGAATTATCATGACTTCTATCATAAGTTTCTTAAAAATCCTGTTATAACTTATTCGCTATTCCGATAACACAAGTATGTAGTTAAAGTTGAGTTAGATATATTGGAATTAACGTGATTCCTATTGTAAAAAAATTGTGTTACAAAACTTACGCGCTATTCTAGTAACACAAGCACGTTGAGTTAGTCTACGCTGGAATTAGCGTGACTCCTATCGCGAGTTGCTGTAAAAACTCTGTTATATAATTATCCCTAACGTGAATTATTATAAAAAAATAGGTTACAAAACTTACTCAATATTCCAGTAATACCAGTATGTAGTTAAAGATTGGGTTATCTACGCTGGAATTATCGTGACTTCTATCGCAAGTTTCTGTGAGAATTCTGTTACATAACTTACTCGCTATTTTAATAACACAAGTGAGTAGTTAAAGTTGAGTTAGATATATTTAGATTATCGTGATTCCTATCGCGAGTTACTGTAAAAAAAATGTGGTATGAAACTTACAATTCCAGTAACACCAGCATGTAGTCAAAGGTAGAGTTAGTCCATGTTAGAATTATCGTGATTATTATCGCAAGTTGCTGTAAGAATTCTGTTGTATAACTTACTCGCTATTCCAATAACACAGGTATGTAGTTAAAGTTGAGTTAGATATATTGAAATTATCGTGATTCCTATCGCGAGTTACTGTAAAAAGAAAATGTGTTACAAAACTTACGCGTTATTCCAATAACACCAATAGTTAAAGATTGAGTTAGTCTACACTAGACTTCTATCGCGAGTTGCTAAAAAATTCTGTTACATAACTTACTCACTATTCTAATAACACAAGTATGTAGTTGAAGTTAGTTAGATATATTGGAATTATCATGATTCCTCCGTGAGTTACTGTAAAAAAATTGTTACAAAACTTGCTCGCTATTCCAGTAACACCAGTATGTAGTTAAAGGTTGAGTTAGTCTACGTTGGAATTATCGTGATTTCTAGAGCAAATTGCTGTAAAAACTCTATTCTGGTTGGTTAGTACTATGGATTTGCAGAAAGTATCTCCACGTGTAGATAAATAGTGTCCTTGAGGGTTTCAGAATTAATTATAAGTATATATCTAAAATTCCAAATCAGAACTTAAACATGCGTATATGGTGATAAAATTAGCTCCTTTTGAGAAATTTCTGCTGGTAAGTAATTGCTCAAATAAGTATATACTTTAAAAAAGATAGGATTTATATATCATTTACATTGAAATAAATATGTCATTTATTTAGAGATTTATAAACGTGAATAGATTACTTTAGTAACAATACATCTATAGAAGTATGCTGTAATCACGATAATATAATTAGCTATAAAAAAACTTATATCATGTGCACAACCGCGTAAATTCTTGTTTTGTTGCACGAACATGCAAAAATAGATACGCGGAGTTAGGGCCACCGAAAATCTGCGATAGCATAATATGCGCATAAACATGGATTTTATCGCATAGCATATGCGATAGCATC